CGGAAGGTGGAAACTTCAGTGGATCAGTTGGTCAAGCCAACCCACCGATAGTTAGGCAAGATAACTGCGATGGAAGGAATGATGGAATGGGATGCAAGTACAAGGACTTTTTGACTTGCAAACCATCGACCTTCAATGGAAAGGAGGATCCGATTGGGGTTATGGATTGGATCTCCGAAATGGAGCTAGCCTTCATGACGTGTGGTTGCAGAGGTAAGTTGCAAACCATCTATGCCGTGCGTCAATTCCGAGGTGGAGCCGTTATTTGGTGGAACACTCTAGGGAAGACTTTGAGCCCTAATGAGCCACTGCAATTGTCATGGGCAGAGTTCTTGGTGCAGTTTAAGCGCAAGTTCTGCTCGACTCAAAATCTGTTGGAGTTGGAGAACAAGTTCCTGACATTGACTAAGGGCAATATGTCAGTTGATGAATACACCAATAACTTCACCTATAAGATGGAGTTTGCCTTGTGTATCGTTCCAGATGAGCTGACGAAGGTGGACCGGTATGCGAAGGGACTCCCATGGGAGTATGAGGTGCCAGTACGTCAGGCACATACTTTAGAGGCAACTATCTGGGCTGCCAAGTCTGTTGAGAACATGATAAAGGGTAGAACCACCAACAAGGTTGAGGTTGGTGAGAAGAGGAAGTTTGAGGGAACATCTAGTTCCGGTAAGAAAAGCAAATTTTCGAAATCTGATTCGAAAAGGTTTGGTGGGGGTAAAGGAGGGGAAGCGAAGTGGTGTGAAAAGTGTAAGATAAAGCATTTCGGGAAATGTAGCGAGGATGTAACTTGCTACAAGTGTGGAAAGGTTGGACATTTTGCCAATGAATATCCGAACAACAAAAGGATGTGTTTTGGTTGTAATGAAGAGGGGCATATTTTGAAAGACTGTCCGAAGAAGAAGGAGGCAGCTAAGCCCAACATTCCACCAAAGCCGAAGGCGAGAGCATTCCAGATGACACTGGAAGCTGCTAAGGATGAAGCTGCTGTCGCTTCAGGTACCTTTCTCGTTAACAATTTGCCTGCCCAAATTTTATTTGATTATGGAGCCAACTACTCCTTTATATCGCATGAATTTGGTAGAAAACTAGCTTTGCCTATTAATAGATTAGATAATGCTTTATTAATCGAAGTTACTAGTGGCAAGTTTGTACCTGTTAGCCATCGTATGAAAAACATCTTAATTGACTTGAATGAGAATAAGTTCTGCGAGGAATTATTGCCTATCGAACTTAACGGTTTCGACATCGTGTTGGGAATGGATTGGCTCAGCGCCAATGATGCCGAAATTTTATGCAAGAAGAAGATTGTTAAAGTAAACCCGCCTGGTATGAAGATGATACTTTAATTCTTTCCAAACTTACAACTACAAAATTGGTTCCTTATTAATGTAAACCATAAATTTAGGCTCTGTTTCCATTTAAAATTGTTTTCCAAATACATTATATGTTGAAATATCGGAAACTATTAATTTCAAATTTCAAAAGTTTCAGATATTTTTATGAACCAATATACTTTCAAGCATGATATCTTATATTTTAAGTTTAAATAAGATTTCAATTGATTACCTACTAATTTTTCATCATATTGACTTGTATATATATATATATATATATATATATATATATATATATATATATATATATATATATATATATATATATATATTTCAAACCTTTTTAGTAATCGATTTACACAAACATTATGTCATAATTCCCACGTAGAAAAGAAATGCAAAAAAACTTCAACCTTCCCATCAGTTTGATTAGTTGAATATATGTATGTATTTCTTCCTTAAATCATTTTAATCTGTAAGTTTGATATTGTTTTCGAAATTATATGTTTTTACTTATTCGTATGGTTCTTTGTTAAATACTTATAATTTGGATGTATAATGTTGTTTTTGAATTATTTTTTTGATGTTGTGTTCGGTTCTTGGTTCCATCTTTTTAATCGGTAACTATGATCCTATTTTCAAAAACAGTAAACTCAATGTTAAAATTAGATGTTATATATAATGAAATTATGATGTTACATGTGTGTGTATACCTTTGTAAAAAATCAATAGACAAGACAAGAGATGACATGACATAATATAACAGACGGGTACAAAAGACATGAACGCCCTCATTAGAAAGTTTTTTTTATGTCTCCGGTAGTAACAAAATAAGAATAAGAAATATACCTTCTCAACAATTGATCTGAGCTTTAAAGTTAAATATAAGCATGTTCTGAAAGATGAAAGTAGGCTCATGTATTCCTTTTTCAAAAAGAATTGGTACCATACATGGGTAGGTAAGAATGCACGGTATAATAGAATTGTGCACTCAGCTAGGGTCGGTATTTGACCCTGAAATACCAAAAACGCCCCTCAGAACCTTCTGAAAAAAAAAAAACAGGTATACTCAAGGACCAAAAATATAATTTACTCTAAACTTAAGTAAAAAAAATATATATATATAAATTTTGTTGTTATGCTATATGTTTTTTAGTTTTGGTTCAAAGGCAAAATGGTGATTTAAAAAAAAAACCTAATAGCTAGGTTGTTAACTTAGGCAATCATAAAATTTTTATGAAACAGTGAAACAAGGTCCAAAACTACAACCTGATTCTTTTAGGGACCAAAACCAAAAAAATCAACTAAACACAGGAACCAAATATATAATTGAAAAAACTTTTGTTTATACTAAGATCTCTCCCCCACCCCCCCCCCCCCCCCTTTTTTTTTTTGAGGTCATGGTGGTACATCACTTCTGCCCCTAATTTGCTCTTTGCTTTATAGTAAGGCATGTTCTTTACTACCACTAGATCATTTATTGCATGTTCAAGATCCATTAATATAATCCCTGTTGTATTTCAAATTCAATAACAAAATTGTAATTAATTAATTTCTCATTGAAGTTAATAAATTATAAATTTATCTCACTTCCTGCTCACCCAAGTTTTCTCATTGCTATAGCATCACGAAGTTGATCATATCGCATATTTTTTCTAAATAAGAAACACTAATATCAATAAAAGAAGCTATTTAATTTCGTAATAAAGTTGAATTAAAAAAATAAGTAAATTAATAAATAAGAATCATTTCTTGCACGTTCAGGATCCATTGATATAACCCCTGTTGTATTTCAAATTCAATAACAAAATTGTAATTAATTAATTTCTCATTGAAGTTAATAAATTATAAATTTATCTCACTTCCTGCTCATCCAAGTTTTCTCATTGCTATAGCATCATGAAGTTGATCATATCGCATATTATTCTAAATAAGAAACAATAATATCAACAAAAGAAGCTATTTAATTTCGTAATAAAGTTGAATGAAAAAATAAGTAAATAAATAAATAAGAAATAGAAGAACCTTGTATTACCACCATATTTTATGTTTGACCTCATCACCATATTTAAATCCTCCCATAATTTGAGGCATTGTGATTAACCAAAATGCAACAATGCTTGGATCTTTCATGCTATCAATAATATGCTGAAACACAAAAGTAGATGTTTTGAAGTGAGATAATTGTTACAAGAGGAAAAGGGGTAGAATCATAATTGGCATTTACATCATAAGGGATTTTTGTTTTTTTCATTATGTTGTAAGTTTTGCATGGAGGCTCAATAATTTGCAAAGTAAATAAAACAAAAGAGGTGTTTCTTTTTTCCTTCATTAAACTCTATTGTGAATGACTATATAGATAAAGTGTTCTATATATAAAGATTTTAGATAAATATGCAAATTAAAACACAATGAATTATGAGAAATCACAAAAAAAATAAGAACCAAACCTAGGAACCAACATCGAACAAATACCTTACTTTCTTTACATAAAAAAAATCAACATACCTCCACATACTCAAAACCGTATAAAGAATTTCACAAAAAAAATTTATTTCATATAAAAAGGAGCATGAAAAAAAATATGGTGGTAAACGGAAGAAGGCATATCAAAATAAAAATAAAAAAAAACCGAAGATATAAACATAAATGATGGACCTAAGAAATGATTTCTTTCGTGTTATCCCTAAAATAAAAAAGAAGTCATCAATGAATCTTAACATTGTCGATGATAGTGATAATAACTTAGATTAAGGAAAAAAGATCTTATATTAGAGATGAAGTGGAGAGAGAATTGGTTATAGTTTCTTTATATTTAATATTATGGGGGGTTTTATGTGGTTCATTTTGAAGGAACATAAATAAGTTGCTATTTTTTTGAAATAAACAGTTATATTTCGCAATATAGCCATAAAATAACAATGTATTTTGAAAGTACATTGTTAAATGTTGGATTATACTTGTGTAGACCCATTTCATGCATGGTTGACTATATATAGTTGTTTTCCGTGTCACAAGTAAAAAATGTTTGAAGGTACTTATATGTGACAAACAAGGTCATTGAACTAATAAAATAAAAAATGTTGTTTATAAAGAGGTCCTTTAACGCTATATATATTTACCTATTTTAGTGTAATTTCTAAACATTTCAATAATACCAATAACCCTACTTTTTTATAATTATTTTGTAATATCTATACAAAATTTCATTTTATTTATGTGTTTCCCGCATTTAACGGATGTCATAATCTAGTGTCTTTCAAACAATGATTCAAAATTGTTTACAATAACAATCTAAAATGTATGTATCAAAACCCTTCTTAGAACCCTTCTTATGTGATTTTCGATTATTTTCCAAGATAAATATATATAAAAAGAAGGAAAAAAAATGAACAACCGTGACTGCCTAAGCAAAAAAATCAAACATAACCTCATGAACAATAGAAAACAAAATTATAGTTTTGAGATGAAATTTTAACCCCATTTATCTTATCCAAATACCCAATGACAAAGTTTCACATAAAAGATTTCAAAATGAGTAAAAATCCCACCAAAACCATGTGACTGGGCCCACTGGAGCGTGCCGTCAGCGCGTGAAAGAAAGAGCGCGTGCGTTACTTAACTCAAATCCCATTTTCATTCATATAAACACCCCACACTCTCCAGTTAAAGACTAAAGAAAGAGTTGAGAAGAGACGAGACGAGTGAGTGACTTGGGAACTGCATCAGTGGCTATAAAGATAAAACACCCACCATCTTCATCTTCCCCTTAAACTAGGGTTTCTTCGTCCTTTTCCCTTTCAAGCATCCATTATCTCACTCTAATCGAGTCACTACACTTGCAGAATACCAACTTTCGCGTCCGTACAACTTTTATCTCTCAGGTAAACTCCATGTATTTGTTGCCCCTTGATTTTGAATTGTTTTTTTTTTTTTTTTTCTGGGTTTGGAAACGTTAGATGTAATATTCTGCATCCCAAGTGTTGGTAGACTATTTCTTTTTGCAGATAATTTTTCGTCAATGTATCTCCTTTTTTTTTGGTTTGAAATTTGAGAAGCTTACAGCTGTCTATACTCTATACTGTGTTCATCTTCGTTTTAAGTTTTCAGCAGCTGCTTTTTTCTTCTGTTACATCTGCTAATTTTATTTCGTTTTTGGATTCCCCATTTTTCCTCCCTTTTCTCAAGCTAGTGCTTCAAATGTTTCCCACTATCTCTAGCTTTTTGGGGCAGCATTTCCGTAGTTTTGATTACCATTGAATGGTGTAAAACCCTTGAGTTATTTTTTATTTTTTTTAGTTCAATCTTAAAATCATGTAATACAAGTTGCATAAGAACATCTTTTTCTTTAATAAAGCTTTAAATTCTCAGTCAATGTCAATAGATTTGTTGCTTTTCCCCTTTTTCCTCATCTGGGTACTTCAGAAATTTTGCTTTGTGTTTTTAGTTTTTTCCGTTTTTATAAGTTCCATTAGGTATTTCGCAGCTGCATCAAAGCTTCATCCACCCCCTTAAAAAATTCAATTTTTTGGTCAACTCAAATGGTACTTCACCAATCTGTTTTTAGATCTAATTGTTTAAAAATTTGAATTCATTGTACTTATCGGGAGCTTCCATCTACCGTTATAAATATAATTTCTCTAGTATTATATTATTTTTTTGTACGTTCCAGGAAGGCATTAAATCCACCATTATAAAAACTTGAATGAAAGAAAGACTTCCAATCAAAATATTAATTCTGGGTTCATTTCCTATTATTTCTTTGTGTCAAGCCACGAGTTTTATTGGATTCACACATTCACTTTTTAAGGTTCAAGTAAAAGATTGTTTTGGATATATAGATCGAGGTGTTTGAGTCTCTCAGAAAACTATGTTTCACAATAACGGAACTTTTGAAACTGAAACAAAAATATCTAGTACCAATTTTTTAATATTAAATTAGAATATTTGAATTTTAAGAGACAACATTGAACTTTTGTGTCATTACTGATATAGGAGCACCGTATTTGGATTTATATGTGGGCTTGAAGATGCCATTAATGTTGCTTGTCTCTTTTTAATTAAAATGTATGTAATGGTAGATTGGTAGGTTTCTTTTTTTTTTTATTTATTTTAAATTTGGTTTTTACAATAATGTCAAGAGAAAAGCTTTAAATGCTTCTGTTTTCTCATTTCACATCAATTGGGATTCAGATCGAAAAAGTGACTTTATCATAGTGCTGAAGTTGTGTAATGATTTGTAATACTGTTCCTGTGTTTCCATATGTATAGATATTTTTTAACCAAATCCACAAGGTTCATATGATTTCTACTGTTTATGTAAAATTTAATATACCAATTTTGATGCGAATGAAAATATTTTTTAAAAGTAATTTAGATTTAAATTCCTTTTCGAGTTAGTTAGTTTGTTGAGAGTGGGGGTGGTTCTTGTGGTTGTGGAGTATGGAGTTTCTTTGAAGGTTTTGATTTCTTTTAGTTGACATTGATTAAAGTTAGGGTTTCCTCCATGATGACGTCATTTTTAGGTATCCTTTCACATATGATATATATGCATTTGCATATACATAAACATATATAAACAAATCATTCTTTCTGAATTCTGACCCAAGCATTCCTCTCGAATCCATTATAGGCATTGTGGGTCAACTTTCTTTATTCAAGTGGGCCTTTTTTTTTACAGGATTGCTTTTACTCAAGGGTAAATTAGACAATGCAAACCCCAAAGACAAGGTATTCTATCCACTTTCACTATTCATTAGATGCGACCCTTTAATTCATTTACTCTTTTGTCATAACTGGTCCTTGCTTTGATCTTTATGTTCTTAGAATCTTTCACGTGATCATTTTTTTTGATGACTTCAAACCAAAATTACCAAAATACCCTTTGATCATTATAACAAATTATTGAATATTCTAATCTAAGTTAAAAAAAAAAAAAACAGAGCTGTAACCTTGGAGGTGCCACAGAGGACACCAAAAACTGCTAGGCAGCTCAAAACTTCAGGGGTAGAACCGGAAAATTCTTCCACTCAAAGTCCGGTGACCAGAACACCAAAACCAAGAAGCCCAAAAGTTTCTGAACGTCGGTCACCTCGTACCCCAACATCCGAGGTATCATATAAATATAATACTAATAAAAACATTTTGTTTTTGGCTTTCGAGTGTCACAGGGGTATAATAGTCTTTTTTTTTTCTTTTGTAAAATTACAGAAAAAGCGTCCTGGCAGAGTGGCTGAACTTGAAACCCAGCTTGCTAATCTTCAAGAAGAACTGAAGAAAGCCAAGGATCAATTGAGTCAATCGGAAGCAAGTAAGAAACGTGCCAACGAGGATGCTGATGTGGCCAAGAAAGAGCTTGCTGACATGTCAGAAAAGCTTCAAGATTCACAACAACAGCTGGATGAGATTTCGGCTTCTGAAGAATCCCGACTTCAAGAACTAAGAAAGATTTCTCAGGACCGAGACAGGGCATGGGAATCTGAACTTGAAGCTGTCCAGAAACACCACTCAATGGATTCAGCCGCCTTAGCTTCTGCCATGAATGAGATCCAGAAGCTCAAGATTCAGCTTGAGAAACTGTCTGAATCTGAAGCTAATCAAGCTAAATACGCTGAGTCAGCTCATAATGATCTGTTGGCTTTAAGGTTAGAGCTCTCGGAAACTCTTGCTGTAGTTGAAGAACTCAAAAACCAATTGAATGATTCCAAAGATGCCGAAGCTAAAGCTTTGGAAATCGTTAGTCAAACCCAAGAACAGTTGGAAACCGTAAAGTCAACAGAGGAGGCTTTGAGGTCTGAAAAGGTGAAAGCCATGGAAGCTTGTGATTCTTTAACCATGGAGTTGGAGAAATTGAAAGCTGAGTGCCATGGAGACGCTCAGGTTGATGATGAAGAAGAATCTGAGGTGGCAAAGTTACGGTTGGCGCTTGAAGGTGCTGAGAAAAGATACCAAGAAGAATATATTCAAACAACTTTACAAATTCGAAGCGCTTATGAGCTTGTGGAACAGTCAAGATCTGAGTCCTGTGAAAAAGTTCAAATCCTGGAGGCAAATTTGGAGAAATCGAAAACAGAGTTGGAAGATTTGAAGGTGAAATTGATTGAAAAAGAAGAAAAACTGCAAAACGTATCGGAAGAAAATAAGAACTTGAACGAAAAGCTAAAATTAACAACAGATGAAAACAAAAACACTGAAGATGACAATGCCGATGTTGTGGAATTAAAAAGATTGGAGGCTGATTTGGAGGATTTGAAGAGGGTTATGTCTGAAAAAGAAACCGAATTGAAGAACATTACAGAAGAGAATAAAAGATTGATGATGGAAAAGGATCAAGTTGCAGAAGGTGAAAAAGAAGCGGTTATGAAATTAGGTTATTTGACAGAAGAGGCTGAGAAGAGTGGTAGAAAAGTGTTGAGGGTGACGGAGCAGTTGGATTTGGCACAGGCGGCGAATGCTGAGATGGAGGCGGAGTTGAGGCGGCTGAAAGTGCAGTCGGACCAGTGGAGGAAGGCGGCAGAGGCGGCAGCGGCCATGCTTTCCGGTGGGAATAATGGGAAATTTGTGGAGCGAACAGGGTCGCTTGATTCACATACGATTGGTGGGAAGTTGAATTCACCGTTTTCAGAGGATATGGAAGATGAATCGCCCAAGAAGAAGAACGGGAATATGTTGAAGAAAATTGGGGTTTTATTGAAGAAAAGCCAGAAGTAATCTCAACACATTTTGCAGGTAATTAATTAATTTTGGCTTGAATCTTGATTTTTTTATTTTATTTTATTAACTGATATTGGCGGGTATGTTCTAAAGATCTTGATCGTGATCAGCTCAGGGGTTGTTTGCTTGAAGTTGAATGAATGAAGGTCAAGCCTTTTGTTAGTTTTCTTCTGTATAGTGAAGTTGAATTGTAATGGGGGTTGTCTTTGACTTTGACGTTGACCTTGATCTTGACCAGCCGTTTGTGGTGGTGGGTGATGCATTTTGACAGAGAATGCAAGTATTTGTAATAACACGACAATTAACGTCTTATTATCGGCATTTCGCATCATGTTTCTCAATTTGCAGCGTCCATCTTTATAAACTAGCTGAACATATGATTTTAGTTATACGTGTATGTATGTTAGGACTGGATGAAGTTTGTCCTTCAATTAATACAAAATAGGTGAAAAGGGGAAATAATAAATAATAGGAAATAATTACGGTATCTTAGAAAATGCTCCTACCATAACCATCATCATTGATAATCATGTCATCAACAAATGCAGACAAGACGATTTAACTTGCACTAGTACAGTTAACAAACAATGCCAAATCATGATTGCTAGGAAAAGGCAAAGAGATGTAATACTGTGAAGAACTTCTCAAACCAAATACAAGGTGTTTGTTTGAAACCACCGTAATCATAATATGCATAATCATCATTTTCATAGATGGTGCAAAACTTTTTTCATAATCTATACCGTATTAATGAGAGTAACCTTATTCTATATGGGTTTACCCATCAGATTTTATTATGATCTTGTAAACCCAATGACATCCAATAAGAATTACATATGCGATTGTATCATATCATGCGATTGATCGAAAAGCAAAAAGAATTACATATGCTCGAAAAATGTTACATGATGCAAAACATAAAACTTTTTATGTAACACGCTCTTTTGCACGTAAATTTTAAACCATGGTTGTTGCATTTAAAAGGAATGACAAGGTATAGATGACACAAGATGCAAGGAGATATTATAGGTATGTGAATATTTTATACGGCATATTTGTTGTTGAAATATTTTGTCACTGTAAATTATTATTTATAATTTGAATTTAATGGTTTTTGTATTATGATCGTTGGATTTATTAAGTAACAACATTCAAATTATTATTATTATCTTTTAGTTGGTAATATTTATGTTTTATATTCATGCCTCTTGTTGAAGTAATCGCTTTTGCTTTTGTTTGACAACAGTATTTTTATTTAAAGAAGGCTTGAAGCTAAGATTCTAGATTTTTTACAAGGCATTGTAATATAATTGAATCCAACAGTAAAAGCCCAAAGACCTAAACGAAAGCCCAAACAGGCCCATTTTGTCAGTATACTATTACTATACATAAATCGATGTAAAACCGCATCAACGCCGTACAGTTCGCAAGGAGAATTAGGGTTAGTCGGAAGTTTATTACTTTTTCAGTGCAAAGATGGGGTAAGCAACACATTCGTGGATCTAATGTATCTTCTTCCATAGTTATGGTTGTGCGTTTGACTGTTATGTGTAGCTATTTTGTGTATCATATAGCCATGATTAGTAGAATTCATCCAAATGGTACAAGTGCTTTCTAAGAACTCCGTCTAATTGATAACCATCATTTTCATATATGTTCATTGGCTAGTGTTTTCTGCTGATTTAATGTTTCGACGAGGAAATACAAGTTTGAATATGAATAACCTAAGAAAAAGAGGCTTATAAGTATTGTTTTTCATTTGCTTGTTTTTGTCGAATATTAGAATTGATATTTAGATCTTAAGATAATAACTTTATGCCAATTTTGGTTAACATTTTCATTGGAATTTTTCTTGAGCTTTTGGATGGATATGCTGCTTCGGTTATGAGTGAACATTGATATGTTGCAGGAAGACACATGGAATGGGAGCTGGTCGCAAGCTAAAGAGTCACAGAAGGCGACAAAGATGGGCTGACAAGTCTTACAAGAAATCTCATCTTGGAAACGAATGGAAGAAGCCATTTGCTGGTTCTTCTCATGCTAAAGGCATTGTCTTGGAGAAGATGTATGTAAACACAAATTCTACACTCTTCACTTTTTTGGTCAATTCTCACATGATACATTTTGTCTTTTTAATTTATAACATCACTGAATGTTTCTCAACATATATCTACAGTGGTATTGAGGCGAAACAGCCTAACTCTGCCATCAGAAAGTGTGCAAGAGTCCAACTTATCAAGAATGGAAAGAAGATTGCAGCTTTTGTCCCCAATGATGGTTGCTTAAACTATATTGAAGAAAATGTGGGTATTTTAGTCATTCTTCATCAGTTTGGTTTTGGTCCTATGGTTTCTAATTTTTTTTTTTGGCACAGGACGAGGTGTTGATTGCAGGATTCGGACGTAAAGGGCATGCTGTGGGAGATATTCCTGGAGTTAGGTTTAAGGTTGTGAAGGTTTCTGGTGTCTCTCTTTTGGCTCTTTTCAAGGAGAAGAAAGAGAAGCCAAGGTCTTAAGTATGATGCGTAGTTTTAGTTTCGTATCTCATTTTTTTTATATTCAAGACTTCACATTTTACTCTTCTTTATTTAATCTGGGATTTTGAAATACCATCTACTATGACTTCAAAGAAAAGCACAAATATTGCCTGTGTTAAATTTAGCCCACACTATCGGGTAAGGGTGCAATAGTCATTTTACATTGGTTAGGGATGATCGGTGTAACAAATGCTTTGTTTTGAACTATGAGCTCCCCCAAAAGAACTTTTTTGCTGCTCAAAAAACTTAAGTTTATTATGACTATTACAAGTAGCTTAAAAAACTCAAGTCTATTATTACGTTGTGCATAAAAATCACCTTTTTTTTTTGGTTGTCTTTTTATGTGATTTTACACCGAAAAGATGATAAGTAGATTCATAGTTTCCCTTGTCATCAGACAACTAACAGAGGTTGAAGATTTGTTCGACCTTTCAAAAATTTACAATTTGTTTTATTAAAAAGTTTTACATAAATGCATACAACTCTAAAGTAGCTGTTATTTTTGCCAAACATACTGTTAATGTAACGCCTAATGCGGCTTGTTTTATTGACTTAATAAAACTAAACTAGTGTTTGGATACCGTTCTCATGACCAAGGTTTTTGAAAACTCTCTTCCCATGAGGGGTTTAATGGGAATAGATGTTATTATTTCAATCCTGCTGTTTTGAGAGAGAGAGAGAGCCTTTGTTAAGTCATGGCTAAAGAAAGCCATGACTTAGAAGAGACACCTTGACACTTAGGTGTAAGATGTTTTTAAAAAATTAGGTGGAAGCTGAAATTAAGAAGTTATAGTTTTTATTTGTGACAAAAGTAGTTGTCAACTTTAAAAGTTTAAAATTACAAAAAGCTAGAAGCTAGTTGGAAGCTAGAAAATTAAAAGTTATAGCTTTTATTTGTGTAGAAGTGTTTCATAAAAGTAGTTGTCAGCATTTAAAAGTTTAAAATTACAAAAAAAACCTAACTAAAAGCTCATAAAAACCACTTCAAGTGGCTTTTAGTTTAAAATAAAAGTTAAAATTTTTTAGTATTGTCTAAATATTATCTAAATAAATCATAATCTTTAAAAAATTCAAAATAATATTAAAAAAACACCGTTTTAAGCCCTCAAAAAGAGCTGAAAACACCATCGAAAAACAAAAAATTTTGTTAATTTGCCGTTTTTTTACTACCATGCGATATTCTTCCAAGTTCAAGACCGGAGTATCAATTTGGCAGATTTGGTGATGATGTCATCAAGTCTTTAATCATAATTAGTGATAAGGTTATATCAAAAATTTAGATTTTGTTAGATAAAACAATTTTTGAACTTAGATTTCAAATTTTTTTTGGAAAATCACCATTTTTTTAACATGACGGTTCTTTTGGTTTTTCTAAAATAAAGTGTTATTTTTTAATATTCAAATATGAAAAGTGGTTAATTTGGTTAATTTGGTGAACATCCATAACTTTATCTTTAATGTATGCCTTGGTTCAAATATATAACCAAAAGTATTAGTGTTGTTAAATATACACAAGAAATCATTTGAAATGCTTAAAATCAATAATTAAAACTTGAAACTGATAGAGTGATGGTTGAATTTGATACAACCTAATATATTCTTTTTCTTAAAAATATAACCTTCGTAAATAAGAAAGGCAATAGTGAATCAAATTAATGTTCTTTGTTAAAACCTTGTCCCACAATAACTTCAATTGTCAAATAAAATTGGTAGATAGGATTATGAGTGCATTATTCAAAAACAAAGGACAGAAACATGGTGATATTCAATACCGAAGGACTATTTATGTAATTTACGCAATACGAAATAACGGTCTACTTTTCCGCCGAACGACCTCTGTGAAATAAGAACTTTCCACTCCACATCTTCGAGCTTCTCTTACCTAAATCTCCCAAACAATCGGGTCTTCTTCTTCTTCTTAATTCGGATCAAGAGTACGACCCAATTCTCCGGCCTTCGGAAATCGGAATGAAAGTAAATGATCGGAAAGGTCGGGGAGTGAAGACATAGGTTTTCCGTTTATCTAAAAGCGACGATATCTTAATCGCCGTTTCCTCTTCTTCTACACAATGATCGTGCCTCATTTATAACCGAGAAACATTTTCAGGTGATTCTTGTTGTTTTAATTCCTCAATGTTACGATGCACCTATGTTGTTTTTATGTTTTAGTTTTGATTAGTTATTCGGTGAACCAAATTAGGTAGCAACAATATATAAACTGTACGATTCGTTCAGAGTTGATTTGTTGATCAAAATTTAGTAATTGTTGTTCATAATTAATCTATCTGCGTTCGTCCGCTTACTGTTGCTGTGATTCACACAAAATCCCAATTTTCTTACATTTGCTTTCTGGTTCAACTGACTATTCCTTCTTCGTTTTGATCTGTTTGTGTACTGGGGTTCTTTTGGAATCTGAAACTCTTCCAATCAAAAGCCATCATCATCTGCATAAGAGAAAAACAATACACATTTGCTTATCTTTTCATTCTCAATCACATCCTCCATGTGACTTTATTGATTGGAACCATTATTGATTAATATTGTGAGCACTCCATCAAAGTTAGAGAAAATCTACATTTCTTGAATACAATTACAAAACATAGATATTCACCATTGTGTCCACTGAGCAAATTTATAAAAGGCCTTTGCTTCCTTCATAGAAATGCATTAGCATGAGTAAAAAGCTATTTGTAATCATTATTTTACAGGATATCTTTCAAATTGAGGGTCACCAGTTGATAGACATGATATCTTCATTGAAATATATTTGAACTGATAAAAGAGCAGACATGGCACAAAGCAATGAACAGACTAAACTAAAACCTCAACTGCTTAAATCATCAAGTTTCGCATGGGATAAAGCCTTTTTCACTAGTGATGGTATGCTACAAATTACAATAACTTCAATAATATTTCATATCCATAGCATCACTCTTTACTTTCTCTCCTTTCTTTTTAAACAGGTATTCTTGATGAGGATGAGTTGTCAAGCATAATTGAAGCAGATAGGAACAATGTCAAACACCAATTACAACCACTTGAAGAGATTAAAAATCTCGAAGCTGAATTGTTCCAAGAGATGGAAGAAGCTTCAACCAAAAAATTCAACAAGATCAAAACAAAACCAACAACATCAAGACACAATTCTCCATTAAACAACGTTAAATCCTCAACAACCATTACAAGAAACAACACAAGATCCAAAACTGGTAAAGCCAAATCTGATTCACCCTCTAAATCTCATCTTCCATCTCACATTCCTTCAAGAACATCATCACCTAGTAGTCCCAATAGTCCAGGGTCACCAGGATCATCATCTTCAACCTTTTCTCTGAATCAAAGATCATCAAGAGGTAATACCAGTGCTCCACGTAGATCCTCATCAACCAATGCACGAAGAAAAGATGAACAAAAACCTGGTAAACAATTGATCATCACCTTGAAGAATAAATCATCACCAGTTCACTCTCATCATCCTTCATCACCTTTAGGGCTATCCAGCTCCTCTTCAAGCACATCACTCACATCATCATCATTATCATCAACCTATAAAGTCAACCAAAGGTCAATATCAACAGGTAGGGGTACTACCCTTCAACACATGTCATCATCAAACCGTGATTCATCCGCCAACTCATCTTTGAAAACACGTCCCACTAGTCAAACTCCAGATCGTATCATAAAACAGTCAACAACATTGTACCCACGAACCAAGACTTCACTCTTTGAGGATGTGAGTTCCATTTTCTTATATTTCTCTTATCTTATCATATATATAGTTTTTGGATTAGCAATTCTTACAAATCTTTCTATTGATTGGGTTGTCTAAAACTGAATCTACACAGCATGGAAAAGAGAGAAAGATTCAAGCAAAAAAGACAGGTGAAAGAAGTAGTAGTCCAGGAGCTTCAAGAGTACAAACAAGTGGTAAAGAAAGAGAAAGAGTGTCGAGTAGTGTATCATTAAAAGGTGTGAGAAATATATTTGTGGTGTCTCCTGAAATTATGGACATAAAAGGGAAACTAAATGCATTGAAGATGGAAATAAATATGCAAAAGAGAGAGAAATGCAAGGAAACCAAAATGGTTCCTGTGAAGATTGGTAAAAGTGAATCAAGTTCTTCTGGCATATTCAAGAACTCATCCAGCAAAATGAACAATCAAGCAAGACGTACGTGAACAATCAAGCATCAGACGTTGTTGTGTTATTATGTTGGTTAATGCATGGTTTTTAACTTTTAACAACACTCATGGCTTGTTTATATCAAAGATACATCAATGGACGCATCTCACTTTGCTTGATTATTATAGGTAATGTTTCATTGATTAGAAGAAGAAGCCAATTTTTTTTTTTTTTTTTCATAAAATAACAGTCTGCTTATTGATTTGTTCACTTGTGTCATGTTTAATTTTGTTGTGCATGTATGTCATTGTTATTTTTGTTGCCTACACTTAATCACCATACTTTCAAAAATTTCTCATTTAGATTACTTTGTAAAAAATATTTTGATTTTCCCAAGTTATTATATACTAAAACAAGTATTAAAATTTATATGGAAAGTATGTTTGTTAAAAAGCAACAAAATATCATATGATCATCTCTCTATATATATGTTGCCTTTTTGTGATACACAATGTCATGCATATTTATACCATACATCAAAATATAGAACTTGTCAACTACTTTAAATGTGTCAATATTTTATCATTGAACAACTAGAATGATATATATTAATAAATGTTATAGCTTGTTACATCATGTCATTAGTGTGTTTTTCTATATTTCACACTATTTGAACTTCAATAATCAATATATCCAACCATAAAATTTCCAGGATCAAAGCTTAAACCAAATATTGTTCTAGTTCTAAAAGTAACATTCAAATCTCCAGTTACATCAAATGACCTTAGTTTATGATGACTGGTGCGTGTAAACTAACTTAGTGAGACCATTAAAGTAGTTTATGATGACCTTAGTCTAAGCTAAATTTTCAATAAGACAGATTGATATGTTTCAAATTCAAACAGTAAATGTCCGATAGAAGTCAAAACGATCAAAAGTCAAACATCAAGCAGCTCCAAAATTCGTTTGCCAAAAAAGATTATGATGTTACTTTACTAATCACTACCAAGATCCAGTCGTCTAATCTTCAAAAAGCATCCCCTTGACTGATTTCACACCTTTCTTGTTTTGATTTCTGCCAGCTGTCCCTCTTTTCCGAGGTGTTGGTGAGAAGTTAAGGCAGTAGCTCACAAGAGCTGGACCAAATATGCTAAACTTCCCACTGCTACTGAAAGCAGTTTCTGCATCACATCTTCTCTCAAACACCATCTTCACACACTTCTTCTTCTTCAACACTTGAGTCTCTTCTTCTAACAGAGCTCCATAACGCCCAAATATCTCATTCATTTTTGAAACTGATGGAACTGATTCCAAATCTGTAAACTTTAAGATTAAAGCAGTTGCAGTTGCAGATGTAGAGTTCTCTTTCTTTGGTTTCAACTCAATGATCTTGTCTGTCCAGTAAGAGTCTCTAATGCCATGTTGGATTTCTGGTTCTTCCCTCAATTGGGATTTTGTCTCCATGCAATAATTCCTAAAATCAGACGAAAATTTCACCAGTGATTCAAGGTTATGATGTTTTTCAAACGGGTTTCTGGCGGAATATCTAACAAGGGAAAGAAATTCATCCCTGTTAAGTTCAAGATTTTTCCTTTTTCTGCCTCTTTTCTTAGGTGTATATTCCACTTCAGAAAAACTATGATTACTTTTTGTCATCAAATCCGATAAGCATTTCATTTTCTTGCATGGGCTTAAACCACCATCTGGATAGCCTTTCCAAGAACTAAAAGATGATAACTGAGCTTCCATGGTTAAAATCTCTGATGTAGTTATCCCAAATGGATCTTTAGCTAAATCTTCAACACACTGGATGATTTTGGCAGGTTTAAATGAAGCAACAGTTGAATCTTTTTCAGTGAATTCAACATCATTTGCTTCTTTTGTAGAGTATTGGCGTAAATCAACAACAAGATTGATTGCATGTAACTCGCCTACTTCTGAAACTAAATTTGTCCCGAGATTTGGATCATCTACCAACCCTGATCTTGAAACTTCACCATTCAAACGCATATGATCATTTCCCCCATTTTCAACATCTTTCGAAATTCTCTCATCTGACGCCATTACGATCCCTTTTCCATATCCAGAAACCCTAGCATCGCCAACTGAACCGAAGCTCACAACACCATTTTCATGCTCATCAGAAGACGATTCCATCACTAGGGTTTAGGTGTTCGATGATCCTAACAAGAAACCTCAGTTCCTTACACTATCAGAAGTTCGTCGATATAAACAAATAATCCCTAAAACACATGCAATCCACGATAAAACGCAAAATCAAGAACCAAAATACGCATAGGAAAAGTAATTCAAGAACAGCGTGGAGTGTGTTGGATGAAAACGTTATTATCAGAAAAGAGAAGCGAAAGATGGCATACATTACCTGGTGCTAATCAATGTCGCAAAATCTTCGTAAAGAGAAGCGACATAGTGTTAAGGAGAGAGACTTTACGCTTGATCGTTGCAAATGAGGTGACTGTTATTTATCAAGTAAGATACAATTGGGTTGTACACGTGTCATGATAGGGGGAATCTTGGAATTCGGACACAACATTTTCTGTTTATCATTTCTATAAGTTCTTTTTCCACTAATAATAACTTATTAATAATAACTTTTATTATCGATAGGCAAATTCGATCTAAAACATCCACGACAACAACCACGATTTGCATCCATCTCAACCTAAGACTGATTTGTCGTTGTGGTTTGTGGTCGGACAACGATTGACCATGAACGTTGTACCAGGATGATGTGTACGTCCGTGGTTGTAGTTCCAAGTGGTAACGAAGACTCTCAGTTGAAACTTAAGAGTATACCTAACCATCTAACTATTTATTAAAAAATTAATTTTTAATTAAAATTTTCTTTTTCTTTTTTATCTATATGATTTCCCTTAAACATAAATGTAATTATCTTGATTCTTTTTTGAGTAAATTATACTTTTGGTCCCTATGGTTTGGTTAGATTCATATTTTTAGTCAAACTTTTAAAAATCTGACAATATACATCTCCGTGGTTTAAAGAAATTACATTGCATATCCTTAGTTAATTAAAAAAACCATTTAATTTTTTTTATATTCTTTGCTTACATTTTATTTTATTTTTTTATATTTTTATTATTATTTAGATTTAATTTGATATTTTTTTTTGAATAATTTTTTCTAGTTTTTTGACGTGTTGTTTGAATACATTTTTTTTTGATGTTTTATTTGTTTATATTTTTAAAATATTTTTTTGTAAAAAATGTAGAAAAGTTCATAAAATGTGAATATTATTAACATAGATTAGGTATACAAATATTTTTTTAATATGATTAATAGATAGGTTAACCGGAAATCGAAAACGAATTTTTAAGTAACATAATGGCTAATTGGAAACCATATAACTTGAAATGAACAAAATTTCTAAAAATAAAAAAATGAATTCGAAATCTGATTAACATTTTCCATTGAACAAAATGTAATTTTTTTTCTAAAACTGAAAAAATTGAACTCGAAGCCATTGACACTCATTTTAATTTCCGATTAGCCTATACAATATCCCTATTAAAATAATTTTTTTTATACCTAATATGTGTTAAACATACTCACATTTAACAAGCTTTTTTATATACTTTATACAAAAATATTTATAAAAAGCTTTATAAAAATATAAAAAAACAAAAGATCAAAAAAACATTAAAAAATATATTCAAACAAAAATAAAAAAAACTAGAAAAATTATTCAAAATAAACATCAAAATAATGTAAGCGAACAAAATATAAAAAACATTAAAAAATATGTATTCGAATAAAATTTCAAATATATATATATATATATATATATATATATATATATATATATATATATATATATATATATATATAAATCAAAATAAATCAATAAATAAATAAAATTAAATGCAAGAGGCAATATATATATATATATATATATATATATATATATATATATATATATATATATATATAAAGATTAAAAAACAAAAATATAAAAGTAAGGATAAACTGTATTTTTAAATGGACTAAGGATGTGTAGTGTAATTTCTTTAAACCATATGTATGCATCTTGTCAAATTTTCAAAAATTGAACTGAAAGTGCAAATCTGACCAAACGATAAAAACCAAAATTGTATTTACTTTTCTTTTTTTAGCTTGAAAACCTCAATTATTGTTTAGATGATTGAATTGCTATGTTGATTGTTTGATTACGTAATAAACCATTTAATTAACTTAAGTAGCCAATAATGTTATTAACTTCGTAAGATGTTGATTAACATTATAAAATCAATTGATATAATTGTTGGTTTTTCGGGCTTATGAGAAAATGACTTGTGGTTTGTATAGTTGTTTGAACATTAATGCAATTTTCGCATAATTATAGAGAGCTTGTTCAGTAACTATGTAGTGAATTAGTTTCATTTGAAGAACATGCTTTATTTAGATGATTTTGTAACTTGGTTGAAAAACTTATAATCAAGTGCTAGACAAATAAGATTTATTATTTGATTAACTCATTAATGAGTTTGATCAAGTTAAAAAGTTTTTAAGAAACTATTGCACAATCACAACTTATGATCATGCTTTTCCAATAATTACACGATTATAATACAAATGTCGATTAAGTTATTTTTAGTTTATTATTATTATTTTTAGTTAAATTAATACATCCGGTTTTATAGTTTGAACTCTCTTTTATTCGGTTAATTATATGATTTGATGTTATGTTGCTATTCTTTCTTGCCATTTTAGTTTTGCTATAACCCAACGTTTGATTCTTAACCCGGTTCATATTGGCCGTTTAAATTAGGGTTAGTTCGCTATCGTTATTCGATTTGTAACATCCGTAATTGTTTTATGAATTGATGTTAAGTGACTTACATAGAAATAGTTTTGTGATGAGATTAACTTAGGTGTAAATTAAAATTGCATGTTTTCACGCTCCCAAGCTTGTGAGAAGTATTGAACGTTGTTGGTAACATTTGCACAAAAGTTAATGGGATCTTTCAATCTATTTCTAAGAGCTTGTTTAGAATAGGTTAGTAAAGTTATGTTTAATTGAAAGAGCATGTTTTAGTTATACAATTCGATGAATGGAAGATGCTAGAACTTGTTAGTATCTTCAAGTACCAACTTAGACTAGAATTTAATTTGATATTGATTTATAATTAGCATGCATTAATTAGGTGGACATAACTTGAAACCGAATTGTTTTTACTCTTGTTTCTAGTATTTCTTTAACATTATTTCATTTTAGTTTTACTCATTTTCAAAACCTTCACTGTATATCTACTTTTTATGTATTTGAATAAAACCATAACTATTTTGGTTTATTTATTGATTAAAACTAATCCCTAAAGATCAAAATTGTTTGCTACTTGTACTATCATTTTTAAATCATATAAATACAAATATGACTTACTATTTGATGGATTCGACACCCATCAATAATACTTCACAATTGTTCATCGAAGATATAGACAAAACAAATTGACCACATCAGAACAAAGATACAAACACAAAATTAACCACATGAGAACCTTAATCTTGAAGAATTAGAAGTTGCAAACATATAGGCACAAAAATGTTCAGCAAAGCTTTAGGAAAAAGAGAACAATGGTGGTTGGTAATCAAATTCTCAGTTTTATTTCATATAACCTTGATCGTATAATCCTACAACTAACAATACACTTATGTATACATTCCAAGTAATTAAAAAATATATATATATAAACCTGTCTCTATATATAAGATTGTTACATTAAATCGCATACTCATCATCTTCAGCTCCTTCAAGTCTCCACTCACTTCCATAGTAAGAATTGGGCAATCCCAACCAGAATTTAAAAGCTTCAGCTGCTCTTTTCCTCTCTATCCTCCGATCTTGCCTTGCTCTTGAAGCATGTTTGCTTGTAAACATCCTCGAATGCATCTCTACATAAATTCTCGTATATTTCGTCTTATTTGGTGCTATTCCAAGTTCCTCCATGAACGCTACAATTTCCAAAGCTTTCTTAAAGAAAGCAGCTCTCACACAGATATCCGCTAAAGTATCCAACAGTCCTTCATCCGGCTTCAAAATCGGAACATTTTGAGGACCAGATTTAGAAACCCTAGTTTCATCTGTTGTTATCAATCCACATCGTTCCTTTATTTCGTTCCAAAGTAACAGAGCATCTCCTGGTTTTTTTGCTAATGCTATGCAATTAGCGAGACTCCCGTATGTAGCTACATCTGGATAAACCCCTTTCTTTTTCATTTTCTCGACTATTTCATTTGCGGGATCGAGCATTCCTAATCTGGCATAAGCTTCTATTAACATGTTCCAAGCGACTAGATCTACTTTCACTCGTGGGTCCTTTTGCATTTCGTCGAACACTTCGTGGGCAAGCTTCGGTTGCCCAGATACAGAAAACGCTTTCATCAGAGTTGTGTAACTTATCTTTGTGGGAGCGATGCCTTTTGATCTCATTTCGTTGAAGAAGACGAGAGCTCCTGCACAGTCGTCGATCAGTATACATCCATCGATCATTGTGTTGTAGGATACTGCATCTGGTTCGATCCCTGAATCGATCATCTCTTTGATAGTCTCCCTTGCGTTATTTATTTGTAGTTGTTGGCAATACCCTTTGAGGAGGATATTGTAAGTGACCCGATTGGCTTGAACTCCTGCTTTACTCATCTCGGATAGAACTTGCCTTGCTTTTTCCATTGCTCCAACATTCACAAGTGCAGAAACGACTGTTGTGTATGAAACGTGATCTGGGTGACTAGAACTGTCTTCTTGGTTTCTCATTGCCTCGAGCATTCTCACTGTATCTTTGATCCGGCCTGCTTTCATGTAACCCTTCATTAAAGTTGTGTACATTCTAGTGTTGGGAAGGAATACCTTTGGCAACAATGGTGGTTCGTAATCAGCTGGGTGTTTCATGTTCGGAAGCAATTTCTCGAACACTTCATTTTCATTTTCATTTGGGAATTCTTCCGAATTTGAATCCCTTAAAAGCTTGCAAATATCTTGTCTCCCTTCCCTCATTGCTTGAACGATTTTCTCTGCGGTTTCCAGATCGTTAAAGCCGATATAGGAGGCCACCAACGATTGCAATGTTGTCATACACACCGGGATGCCCTTTTCGAGAATCCGTTCCAGTACAAAGACA